GGCAGTAAAAGTTGACAGGTCAAGGTAAAACCATCATGAGGAATGACATCCGCTTTTCGGAAGTCTAATAACCCCTGGCCATTTCTGCTCAGAGAGATGAGGGCAGGCTCAGACTGCAGGGTTCCCACAGTTCACATTTGCCTCAGCCATCACCGTAACGTTTGTTTGTATGGAACAAATAATTGTTCGTTATTTGTTATTATAATTCAGAGTAAACTAATTTACACGCCGACTATTGAGTTTGTGAGTCTTTTCAACGATTCATTAAACAAACGAGTCCGTACGGTTCCAATTATTGGAAAACATGAATAACATGATTAATTGCGTTAAGTGTTTTATCGCGTTGCTTTTTTTTCTCTCAATCAAATCAAATTGAAACAAAAAAATCCAGCAACAAATGGCAAACTCTCTCTTCAAACTTCATTGATCACATACAAAAGAAAGGTAACGATTACCACTCAGCAGGCGTGTCATTCTGTGAGGCTCAGTGCTCACACTCTGACTCATGCAGAGCGAAAAGCAAGCAGGCTTGAGCAATGAAGTTGGGAGTTTAGCATAACAGGTCCCCCACACAGTGTGATCAGATGGGCCGCAGCATGACTACGAGAGACAGGGCGACCCCCTCATGCGCAAATGAATCGAAATAAATAAATAAGCGTCCCAAAATGAATTGGAAAAATAAAGAGATGCCTGAAACGTTTTCGGTCCTCATGAAGCGGGCCTGAAATGCAAAAAGCCTCACAGCAGGATTGGCTGGAGAGCTGAAAAACAGAGCAGTGGGAGATGTCCGGTATGTTCCATTAACAGGTGTCCTCCAGCTATACGGAGCTGACCACTGATCAATCTGCCTCGCTGTTATAGATCCAACTCTTTGGGCAAGCATGAAAAAATGACTTATTCTGGCTGTAAGGGTTTCCATTTTGCTAAATATTCAAGCGATTTAATAAGAACTGTCACTTCAATAAAAAAGATTTATGACTGGAAGGGAAATAACACAAAACAGAAGCTAATCCATAAAACTTCATATCTCGGCTACGGAAGGGAGGAATGCCAGAGTAAATGAGCTCTTAAGTGCTTTTTCATTTAAATGGCTGAACGGCAGTGTGGAGGGCAGAGCTTAATATTAACAGGCTTAGACTGGCATAATAAAGCAAAGTAAACAGACATAACGACGCAGTGAGGCTTTGTACAGACGGGGAAAGAATGGGCCTTTCATCAGGTTTTGATGTGACAATGATACAGGCTTATGAACAACCAAAACAAAATCATTCTGAAGTGTTGCATTAAAAACGTACACACATATATATATATATAAGTAAAAATAATATTACCATCATAAGAACTTTTAAATGGGTCATGAAGTGCATTTTTTATAGTGTTTTCTGAGGTGCACTTATAATGTTACTATGATTTTTACATCAAGTAGGGTCATCATTTAGAAATCCTTTTTTATAACCTGATTTGAGCCCGCTAATTTGAACGATCTGATTGAGATCGAAGGGGTGTGTCTGCTTTGAGACTTCAATGTAAACACCCACTGCTATCATAGACTAACATTTTGCATATGTAATGAGCATTACATTTTACGATTAAACCTGTCAAGATAAACTAATAGCGAAAAGCGCTGATTATAGCATTATATTTACATCTACTGCCCTGGCATGAAAGGTTGCAGGTAAGCATCGTAGCCGACGTCAGACATGTCTGTTGAGCACATGAATCTTGTCATTGTAGCTTAATTTCTGCTCTCTCACAGATGCTTTCATTATAACTAACAGTTCAAACACGTTGTAAATAAGAGTGTAGAGAGCGTCACTGATTATCACAGGAGTTTTGGAGAGAATCCAGAACTCAGTCATGATAAACTGGCTTGATTGACAGCTCCAGTGATTCTAAAGGAAGCGTTTTTTGATTGCTTTCTGTAGATTATGACAATTTAAATAACATTTGTTCATGCAACTAACAGAAACAATATGAAGATAATTTAGTCACAGGCTTGATTTACTAACGCATAAACAGCAATAAACTATTTTGAGACAAATAACGTTTGACTGTACATGAATCTTACAGTAAAAGACTATTTGCAAAAGATTGCGCCGAAATGCAACTGATTTACCAAAGATCTACTGTGAAATGAACCGAGCAAACAAATAATGCTCTACTGAGACATTCACATAGTTGAAAATGAATAACCACTTGCATTAGGATCCTTTGGAAGGTGATGTTAGTTTTAGTCCAGTGATCCTGTATCTCTCTTCTCTTTTCATCAAATTATACTTGCCAGTGGGCGAGGACCAAAGACATAATGTAGAAGTAGGTGTTGATTCGATGTTTCAAAGGTGGTCTTTTGCAGCACTATTACGTCATTGGGACAATTCCAAACGAGTCTGTATCTGAGCTTGGATTCAATAAAAGCGTTTGGGTTTTTTTTGGACTAACAAAAAAGTTTTGAGTTCTGAAACTTTCAGGATATTTTTACACTACAATGACCTTTTACGTCAAAAGATCAAGAACATTTTGATTTCCCCTTTAAATGAATTGACAATTTAACTTCAAAATATTGATTTTTATATCAATATGGCACAGCTAAGAGTGACAATGAGCTCCTAAGCTGTCAAAGCTCATAAAGATAAAAAAGCCATCAGTACAACTTTCATGACTATAAAAGGTAGTATGGACTACCAAAATTGACAATTTGATATCAATACGCTGATTTCACGCAGCTGCCATTTTGAAATCGAAAGCGAGGCTCCGGTGGGAAGAATCCCAGCAGTACAGGCAGACAACAATGTCTTGGACCACCAACCTGAAGCTGCTCCCGCGATTTAAAGTATTAGATGTTAATATCCAATATAGGATATGTATATAGTTCTATAGTAATTAATGTAACTGTGAAATTTCTACAGTAAAATGGTGTTTATTCCAAGTATTTATAATTTTATCAGCCATTTACTTTACATTTTATGTTGTCTAGTTAATGTTTATGCCACTGAATTTGTGTAATGTGTAGGCAACAGTGCTCAGTCTAGCCAATGATCATGGAATGTGCGCTTCACATGAGCATTATACATCACTCTGCCATTCTACACATCATTACTCATGCTCTTTGGCTCCTGTCCCTCGTCCCGCTTTCTCTTTGTCCTGACAGAAGCCCCTCCGTGCGAACCTGCCACTTCCTGTTGCGCATCAGGTCAACAGAGGCGGAGAGGACTTTGAGAAGTTACTGGCTGTGAGAACCACGTAGGAACAGTGTCCGGTGCTACGGCGCAAAAGTGCTACCGAAAGAGGCCAGTCTGGCCCCCCTGGTGCACTGTGACTCGACAGAGGGCACTCTTCCTCTCACTTTCAGCTAATTAGCTCAGCTGGAGAAAGAAGCAGGGTGCTCCAGAAAAAAAATAGAGAGAAAGAACGAGGGTAAAAAAAGGAAACAGATGACCTCCTCCAGTTGAAGCAGCCTTCGAAATAGCTGACCCACTTGTAGACACACTTTTGGATATTTGCGTGTCCTCAATGCAGTAACCCATATAGTGTAGTCTACCTAGGGCAGGGTGGAAATGCAGAACTCATCTCTTGTTGAGCGGGAGGAAAGAATGATGGTGTGCGTTGCGTTCAGAACGCCTGAGGGTCTCTTGCTCATGCATGTGCAGTTCCTCTCTGTGCTCATCCATTGCCGGCACATCTGAGGTAGACAGGAAGATGATTCTCCCACATCCTCCCACGCGACCATTTCCACGCCGATTTTGGCTAGGCAGCAAAAAGACGCAGGCTTATACCACGAAAATGCCGCTTATCTAATGCAACAGCTCCATAATGAACACTCTTTCTAACATTTCAGCTTTTTACAACACTTTTCATCAATGCCAAGGTCTGATGGGGCTGTGACACATTAGTGCCGCAATAGCTGTGGAACGGATTGTCAAGCAATTTGAAAAAGTCATCTGAATTCACATCACATATGCATATTAACAGTAATACAAAGAATAATGTCTGGATAGATGTTAAATGCCAGGGGGAAAATGGACCATGTCTCCACAGGAGACCAACTGAAAGCTATTTCAGTGTAAAGGGACTAAAGGCATACTGATGCGGGTACTGCGAGGGCACAGAATACATGACAGAAATCTGTAAAGAAAATCTCAGTCATGCTTCTCAACTATCATTGAGCGATAACTTGCTCATCACTAGGGATGGCACAATTCTCAATATAATATTGAACCGTTCACTTATTCCGTTCACGAACACTTATGTGTCGAGCCATCAGAACCGAACCAAACCGAAAAACGGTGGTTAAAAAAAACGAGGTATGTATTGAAACGTGGGCTAACTGTATTGTTGCATCCCTAATCATCACAAATGCTGAAAAAATACAAACAGATTTGTAACTAGAAGGGCATCTCTTAAGAAAGTGCCAACAGCTTTTCATAATCTATCAAACGTTGTTTGCTCTTGGTTTGATTAAATGTCGCAAGCGAAAGGGAGACGACTGTTTAAAGGCTGGGTTTTGTCTCCAATGCTTCAATATCTCTGGTGCATTAATCTCTGTTAATGAGTCATTTAAAGTTTGCAGCACTTGAACACAGTTTGCTGACTCACTGCAATATAGCATCATCGTTTGGTTTGTGTGTCTGAGCCATTAAAAGGTGCCTGTGGGAACAAGAAAACACCTAGATTTCATCTAAAATTAATAATAAAAACAAATAAAAAGGAGGATGGCAATTACTCGATGGGTGGGGGAAAGGAGGGCAGTCAACCCATCGAAAGGGCAGTGGAAAACATGATTAAGCAAATCGTTAGCTAAATGTGTTTAAAATCTGAAACCACAGTCTCACTATAAGGGTTCAAAATAAACGTTCAAGGCCCTTTACTATTAAAAGTCAGTGAAATAAAAAGACAGATGTGGAGACCCGTATTCAATTAGAAAAACCAGACACAGCTCAATGACCTCAGAACATTAGCAGTGTTGTCAGGAGCTTTCATACGGTGGTTTAATGGGTACTCACCTCTGAGAGTAAGAAATCTGTCTGAGTGCCTTTGTCAGCTTTTTGGCAAAGAGATTTCTGAGCAGCACGGCTAGATTCCTGTTAAAAAGATATGTAGATGTATCAGAAAAGAGTGCCAAAGCATTACATTTACAACATAAAACCATTCTCTGAAATACTTGACCCTGATTGGTCAATCTCAGCATGCTGCAGTCAAGTTATATATTGAATGCTTAACTGTATGGAGGACTAGGAGACAGCGCCACTCACAAATAAAATGAAGGAATCAAATATTAAATTTATTCACAGACCAAAAAAAAAGTCTATTTAAAATGTAATTTTTATTTCAAAATGATAGTTTAACTTATTTATAAATATATTCATTTATTTTATTTAGAAACATGAATTAATAAAAGGTCAATTTGAAACCAAAAATATTATGAATTATTATAAAAAGATATTTATAGAATTTTTTTTATTTATATAAAATATAAATATAAATTTATATATAAAGATATTTATAATAAGTCAATAATTCTAAAACCTGATTATATATATATATATATATATATGTATAAAGTGGAAATGTATATTAACTTTAGAATGAATAAAAACTATATAAAGAGCATTTGTATTAACATATATAATATACATATATATTAAGTTATTTTATGCCCTTTTTATATTTCTTCAGTAGCCATGTGGAATATTGTACAGTCAGTCGGTCATTATTATGCGATATTTTTAATAAGACCAGGCTTATTGCATGATAATGACCCTCTGATTGTACATTCAGTCTTGACTGGGAATATCAAACACCCACCCTCTCGAACGTGGCAGAATGGCAGACTAATAAAATAAGAAATATGGTGCAGCAAAATTTAGGGCAGCCATACTTCATTAATGACATTCAATAAAGACAGTAAAAATTGACAAAGACGAGCTAAGCCAGCAGGCTGCCAGTTTCACCAGTGAGTATTATTTTACGAGCTTTTGCCATGATTTATTAAGCCATTGTGGCCGCAGGTTCTTTTCCCACTAAAAATAGAGTGGAGGTCTCTGGGACGCAGAATCTGGAAAGTGATGATGTCAATGGTCAAGAATTTAGTTTATTTATTCCGATTTCGTCACCTGGATGCCACATTATGCATGCGTTTGCATATTTTCACTGCGCATGCTTTACAGGAGATGAAACAGCCACCGCAGTTTGAGTCAGTGGGCTCTTATGGAGCAGAGAATCTTCAGTGAGCACAGTGATATTTACCAACAGACTGTTTTCTCTGAGAAAAAGACTGTGACCTTCAGAGACATGCTTAACACTATTGGGAGCACATTTTCTGAATTCAGTTCTCGAAGAGAAGACAGATAAGGACAACATCAATTCAAACCTCTACAGACTGAGAGAAAGTCAAACTTGCAATCTTTTCATTGAACATCTAGACAGCGATCAGCAAGTATGGAGAACGTTTAAACTAGTAATGCAGAGCTGCAGCTAAAAGAATAAAGGTGTTTTCACTTCACACAATCTCACACTGAGATTAGCAGCTCCAAAGCGTCCTGAAGTCATTAGTTTTCAAAGAGAGCTGGCGATTTCCTGAACTCGATGCGGTGACTGCAAATGGCAGTGTGGACAGTTTAGGGAGCCCTTTGAGACCCGTGTTGTTTTAGCATTGCTAACATGCTCAGTTTTCATTCATATTTTTAATTAGAAAAGACTGCTAGAAATGCCACAAAATAAATCAGTCATGGCTTGTTCGAAACATCATGTGCTTTGTTTGTCCTTTCGCTTTTACAGCCTCTTTACTGCCCTCTATTGTTTTAATTCGCCCTGCCCCCTCCTCTGTGCATATCACGCCATCCCATTCCTGTGTTCAGGACCACGAGTCTATAAATCTGCAATGGACCTGTCATATTTCTCCTTCACTCGTCTCTGCTCTAGCTTCTGGGACCGTGAACGTTATGCGTCTCACAGTGCATGTAAAGCATGCGACGAGCTGTTTACTGCACGTTAAGTGAGTAGCGGCATCTCCATGACTTCCTGACACGAGCTTAGGGAGAGGGTGAGGACATGAAACCAACAGGATGTCAATGCAAACTCTCAAATAAAAGAAAGAAATTAGTGTATTCTCAAGACATCGGAGCAATAGAACCTGTTTTTGCAATCGTGACACTTGGTTATGAAACGTTACATTGAACTCATCAGGTTCTTTTACCAATTGGGTCTGGAGTTGTACAATGAGCTCTTCTTTCTCCTTCAGCTGCTGTTGTAGGAACTGGTTCTCTTCTCTCACAGGATCCTGCATACAAAGCACACACAACAAACACGGTAAAAAAGTCAGTCTGAGTTATTCAAGCCATCGCCCCCAGTTTGAATCTGCAGCCTCGTGTGTGGGTGTAAAACTGCCGCGGTTGAGAGGTGTGTTTTCTATGCCGCGATTTCACTCTCCTTCATAAACTTCACCTGAACTAGCAGGCACTTTCCCACGACCTTGTGCTGTCAGCATCCATTATGTGAGGCTGGGGGGAGGGGAGGGAGGGACTGAGGCTTCAAGGGCAGCAGAGGAGGACCGAGAGGCCCAGGAGCAGAGGATGGCCTTCACTGAATGACCGAAAAGAACCGCCGCCCCCCAAAATGACAGCGCTCCTCTAAAAGAAGCACTCGGTGGAGATTAGACTGAGCTGGCATCAGGAAGCCGGACATGATATGCATGAGTCGGAGCCCTTCGTGAGAGATCAAGGAAGGGGATTATGAGCTTCAATGTCACGTACTTGGAGACATCGTTGTTCAAAGCTCTTTGGCTTTGGTTTGAATGCGCTCCTTTTGTTGACATTACATAAACATCTCAAGGGAACTGTTGTCAATCTTTGACGTTGCTCTGTAAAAGAAGCTAAATTCTGCCCAGAGATGATGATGACACACAGCGACTAACTAGAATCGCTCGCTTTGTACCTACAAGACTGTCAGGGTTAAGTATATCTTCATCGCTGCTAAACAAGAATGTGTTCCTTTGAACTCAAATTATACTGGATTCCATTTATCTTTGTGCAGTAATAATGGCCATTAATTCTCATTAATATGATTACAATAGTATTAAGATGACCATAAGTCACTTTTGAAACAAATGAAAGACAGACTTTCTATCTAGGCTACCATTCAACAGTTTGGAATCACTATGAAACTTTTTTATTTACATTTTTAAATTATGCTTTTAAAGCTTTAAATTATGCTTATTATATGCTCTCATTATATGCTTTTATACCTCAAGGATTTATTAGGACATTTCTTAAAGGGTTAGTTCACCCAAAAATGAAAATTCTGTCAGTATTTACTCACCCTCATGCTGTTCCAAACCTCTATGTGTTCCGGATTGGTATTATTTGTTCTGCTGAACACAAAGGAAGATATCTGGAAGAATGTTTTAATCAAACAGATCTCATTCCCCATTGACTACCATAGTATGTATTTTTTCCTACTGTGGTAGTCAATGGGGAATGAGATCTGTTTGATTAAAACATTCTTCCAAATATCTTCCTTTGTGTTCAGCAGAACAAATAAACAACAAGAGGGTGAGTAAATACTGACAGAATTTTCATTTTTGGGTGAACTAACCCTTTAAGATCAATTCTAATAAGTTTGTAGTAATGTTCATAAGTGCAATTCTTGAAAAAAACTGTTCAGAATTTTACACATTATTTTCATCACGACTTACTTTGGAGTTCAATGCTCATGTCTATTTCTTCAAAGTGTTGTCTTTAGAACAATCTTAAGAAAAAGATGAGAGCAGAATAAAGTAACAGATATTTTTTCTCCCCAAAATACATAAAAAAAGAAGAAAATAGCAGTTAAGGCAATATTTATTCTTAAGAATATTTCATGAATCTAATAATCTTCCTTGTGTTGCAATGGCAGACCTTCTGCCTTCTAACACTCAGTTTGATAAGACTTTGAGGTGAAGTTTCAAACTCGTCTTTCTTCCCACAGAACTTAACATTCATTTCTAACTGTTTACCATTGAATCTTTTTCTTTTGCCCATTCTACTTTTTCTTCTTATTTGCCAGTTTCAGATGTAGCTTTTCCTTTGAAACTGTGCTTAAAGGCCAGCAACTTCTAAGAGTCTTGTCTTCACTGTTCCAATTGAAGCTGGTGTTTAGTGAGCACTGTTCAATGAAGCATCCAGCTGAGCACCAGTGAGGGGGTTGTTTCCCAAACTAGAGTCTCTGTCTCTGATGTACTTGTCCTCTTGTTGTGGAGCAGGGCTGTTCACTTCTATCTCTGTCCTGGTTAGATACGGTCTGCTTTCTTTTGCCGAGACCATTGTGCATGAGACAGCATTCATCCCTCAAATTAATGAGATATTCTTCTTTTTTGTCTACACATTTTGAAACTAACATTTGAGTTGGTTTACACTTGCAAGAAAGAGTTAGGCCTCTAAAGTGTCTTAAATACCAAAATGTACATTTAACTTTCTGAAACTGAATGAAATTCTTCATTGGCTAAACAGAAGCATTAGTTTCTTTCAAAAACATAAATGTCTATTCCAAACTACTGAATGGCAGTCTAAAAATATACACTTCCGTGCAAACGTTTGAGTTTTTATTTTTCTTAAAAGAAGTGTCTTGTGCTTAACCATGACTAAATTTAGTTGATCAAAAATGCAGTAAAAACAATAATATTGTTAAATAATATATAATGTAATATGATTACAATTTAAAATACCGGTTTGTTTTTGAACATTTTAAACTGCAATTTATTTCTGTGATGCCAAAGCTGAATTTTCAGCATCATTACTTCAGTGTCATAATCCTTGAGAAATCATTAAAAAAATGCTGATTTGGTACTCAAAAACATTTCTCATTAATACCAATGTTAAAAATAGCTGTGCTGCTTAATATTTGAGGAAACCAAGATACATTTTTTCAGGATTCTATAATGAACAGAAAGTTTTAAAAAAAAGAACAGCATTTCTTTCAAAGTTTGATAAATGTAATGCATCCTTGCTTTTTTGAATTAGTGTACATAAAATAATAAAGTATTTAAAAACAAATTATTCATTAAAAAAAGGGTCATGCACCAAGCAACGTATGCAGCAAACAGGCAGAATGTAACATCCCCCAAATCCCTGCCTGTGGGGAATATTTAATTATATCTTAATTATAGAGGTTTAACAAGAGGCACTTTATCTGTGCAGTGCCATGGAGGACTTCTAGAGAGGTGTTTGGTCACAGTTGCATACACTAACACACACGCACAGGACAGGACAGAGAGCTGGGTCTTTACCCTGTGCTGTAAAACTCTATTTGAGTGGCTCCTCCATCTGTCTGTCCTAGATTAAATACTTGAGGCAAGAAGGAGACGAAGGACCTAATAAATGAGAACGTCCAACTATCAGAGAGCCCTGATCATAAAAGGCAACACTTAACATCACTGCAGTTGATACAATCAAAAGCATCCAGGTGGTACGTCTGGGTGAAACATATTAGATTGGTTTTGCTAACCTTCCTGAAAGAAGTTTCAATAGCATCTAATTTAAACTTCAGTTAGAGCTATTACAACATGCTCAATTCATTAAATGCTTTAAATGAATTAAATGAATATTAGGTAAATGTTGATTTACAATTTATCCTTGCTGGGATGCTGAAGCCATATATGTGTGTATATATATACATACAGTATATATAATACAGGTCCTAAATAAATTATAAGCTTCCTCAATTTAATTGAAAAGGTGAGGAAATCGTGGCTTGATTATTTTCAACAATTTTTGTTTTAAAAACAGTATTTTATCTTATTCTGAATCTTATTGGATATTTTGGCTTTGTGGTAAAAAAATCAGTTCCACTAAATGAGAAGGAATAAATAAAATAAGAAGTCAATTCAAGATAACTCACACCGTTCAAAAGTTTGTGTGGGGGTTTGGAAAGAAAGAATTACTTTTATTAGGCAATTATGCATTAAATTGCTCAAAGTTGAAAATAAATAATTACAATGTTACAAAAGATACCCAATTCAAATAAACGCTCTTTCTTTCCAACTTTCTATTAATTAAATCCTGAAAAAAATTTCTAGCATGCTTTCTTACTAAATATTAAGTAGCACTAATGTTTTCAACATAATGCAAATCATTATTGCAGTGTATTAAAATATTCTGAAGGGTCATGTGACACTGAAGACTGGGGAAATAGCTGCTGAAAATTCAATTTGCCATCACAGGAATACTTTACATTTTAAAATGTATTCAAATAAAAAACAAATATGTCAAAATGGTAATATTTCTCCATATTACTGTTTGTATAGTATTTCTGTTCAAATAAAATAGCCTTGGTGAGCATATTAGACTTCTTTCAAAAAACAAAAAACAAAACAAAAACAAATACAGTATGTATATATATATATATATATATATTAGTAATGGAAAAGTTTCATTGTCATTAAAAGGCTGGAGAGAGAGAGAGGGGGAAAAAAAGAAAAAAAAAAGATATATATATTTTTTTTTGTGCTATATTGCCCAGTCCTTCTTGGCAGTTTCATTACCAAGAATGATACAAGTTTAGAGAAGCACAGAGTATTTCACTCATGTCATGTGCTTTGAAGGATGGCATAAAAAGGAGTAAATGTGATAGATGTCCTCAATTATTTCTGTCTAAGGAGGCTTGTGATGTTATAAACTTCAAACAGGACACCCTCAGAGTGGCGGGCACACCTACACTCACTTACCAAGGAGTTATTAATACAGGGTCTGTATTATGGACAGAGACACCTGGACGATTGAGCTTGGTACCACAGTCCGATCTCATTTTACCAAGATGCAGAGCAAGAGGCTCCATTATTCCCTTAACCGACGCCATGCTCTCGCCGCAGGAGAACTCTTTCCGCAGGCTCTAATTATTAAGAAGGTGGGGATAACAAATGTTTGGTGAGAGAAGTTTTCAGTTTAAAGTAGGACGAAAAGTGACACGGTTCCGTCTCAGGTGGGTGCTAGGGCTTTATTTTTAAAATCGGGATATTTTTTTCCTTTTTTTTTTTACGGAATGAATCAGGACAAGTCCCACCCCTCTCCTGTCAGTTGAACACAATGTCAGAATGCATGGCGTCCTATTCTAAGCATCTCTCTCTCCCGCTGCGTGGCGCTAGGCTACGGATGAGCCGGAATGTCACGTGATTTGCTGCCGCAACCGTCGCTTCTGTTAGTGCTCCATGTAGGTCAGTAAGGAGGACAGAGAAAGACAGACCTCATTTCCACTTTGCAGTATTTGAGCCATTCGGGAAAAAAAGTCCTGATGAAAAACAAAATCCTCTTCTACCAAGCAAAAGCTCCTCAAACAAAATCAAAACCCCGTCCCAATAACAGCCCTAGCCCATCTCCACAAGATCAGCGCATGTAATCAAATAATCTCATCAAGATAGAGGGAAAATTTCATTGATGGTGGAGAAAAAAATGTAACTCAAATTGTCTCAAAGAGAGAGGCCAGAATGAAAAGAGTGTTGGAGTAGGAGAGAAGCACAATGGAGTAGGAAATTAACAGCATAAAACGGGCAGACCTCTGTCTCTATGCAGTCGTTTAGCACCGTCATTATGTTTTATCTATGGGCTTTGAAATCTTCAGGGAAGAAAAAAAAATGAAAGTGAGCCTTTTAAATCAAAGTGCGAACTACCAATGATACCTCAGCAGGAAAGAATGCATTCACATTATGAATAGAAAAGAAACACATTCCAACAACACTGAATGCAGACAATTACCTTAAAGGGGAGTGATTTCTCACTGCAGGGGCTTATGGGTAGAGAGTGAAGGCTGCTGGCAGGGCTTGTCTCAGTGCTCTGAAAGGCAAATATCATACATCTTAATATTTAATGAGCACATGCAAAGAAAACTATAAAAACAGACTGTAAATATTATTCAGCTCATCTGACTCTGAATTAGTTGGTTCTGAGGTTACACTTGCCAGTATTAAAAAAGTATGTTTTTATATTTCTGACCAAGACTACAAGTATACAGAATGTTATCCAAAGCCAGGGCTCTAGAGTGCGACCAATAAAAAAAAAAAAAAATAAATAAATCTCTGTATGCGATCGAGCTCTCCTTCCATGAAATCCAAAATACCTCAAGTTTTCTTCTAGCTACACTCCATTTTTCTGGTAGTTCTTTTAAGGGCCCGAGCGTGCTCGTTGTACCACAGTGTGCTAGTTGGTACACAATGCGGTAACATTTGATGGACCATTTTTCTGTATGAATGTGTCATTTTGAGTAGAAAATAAACCCAATGTCAAAAAATGGCAAGTTATATATCCTAAAAACAAAAGCAATGATAAAACATTGTGCATACAGCTGGAAAACTATTAATTATTTTAGGCCCAGTGCATGATGGGAACACAAGTATCAGAAAAGTTGAGTAATTTTACTTAATTTTATAACGTTGATATTTACCTTCAATTTACCTTCAAATTACCCTTTAATTTCTACACACTTGAATTGAGTACTAATATAGAATTTACAGTACTTAAGCCTTTTTAATTTGTGCCTGAACTAACTTTTTCATGTAGAAATTACCTTGTTTTTTCTGTATTATTTACTTCACCAAAAAATAATTCCAATCAATGTGGGTTAGTTTAAAGAAAATAACACTGCACTGCTAAAGGGGGTGTAAAAAAATAATATATTGTATATATATATATATATATATATATATATACACACACACACACACACATATAAATATATATATTCCAGAGACTAAGACCAGTTCTTCTGGTCTTAGTCTCTGTTTTTTTCTGTTTCTTCATATAATTTCAGATGCACTCGATGATGGTGAGATCCTCCGTGGAGCATTGGCTGTTGTCAGAATCCTTGTGCATTCAAAAATTTCACTGGATTATTACAATTAATGGCACAATTAATGTCTGGAATTGTAAACTGATATTTCCTACTGAGACACTACAACAAAATATATAAATAACTGGCTTAAAACCATTTCTTTGAGGCGAAAATACTTCTGCACAGGACTGTATATACAGTATATAAAGTAGTTTGACCGGGTCTATACATTTCAAATAAGGTACAATAGCACAACCATTACAATGTAATTTTGGTAAATGTTTCACAGCAAACATGAATGAATTGTAAGCAGCATTTCAGACTCCAATTACTAAAGGATTCCAGACTGATCCGGCATGTGCTGCTTTTGATTAATGCGTTTTCTACTCCTGCATTTTAAGTGCAAGGAGAGGACAAGAAAACTGTTAAGAAAACTGCAAACACATTGAGGTAATCGAGAAGGTATAAAAGCAAGAAAAACGTCTCACTAAAGCTGATTCTCAGTGCATTTAAACAAAAACTACTAAATGACAGAACACCACAAGTAGAGCAAAAATTATTTTCTGAAAAATGCAAAACCGTATTTTAAGAATTTAACCTGCTCAGTATTAAAATCTCTGCTCTGAATTATCAAAATGGTTAAGTATACACATGGCTACATCTTAACTGTTTTTGCTGGTGGGAAATGCAATAGTTATGTAAATGAACCAGGCAGGATGCATAAAAAAATGAAATAATAATAATAACACAACAAAAAATGCCAGGTTCTGAATGCCAATAGGCAATAGTACATAGATGTTCAAAGGTATTAAAGCAATTTGATTCAAGCCAAAAATGTCTGAGGTTAGACGGTCTTAACTCAAGTTCTGAAACCAGTCTAAAGCTAAGTGTGAGCAGACAATCTATGGTAATTTGACATTTACTAGTTTACATTTGACTGAATCAAAAACTCTCAAAAACATTTTGAACTCACTCCTTAGTGCACTTCCCTGAATTAGTCAGAAACGAAGTAACAAATGACCCAAAGACAGACAAAGAAAGAAAGAAAGAACAGGCTATGCTTAATCTGTGGTCAAGCATATAAAATCAAATGCTCAAGTCGTTGTGATTCTTATTACACTGTAGTTTACAAAAGCTGAAGGAAGATGGTTAATTTGCATGTTAATGAGAAGAGTCAGTAAAGAGGCCAAATAACTTCCTCTTCAATATTCATGCTCCTCTGTTATGCACTGTTCTCTAGACCTTCACAAAGTAATTGTTGTTTTGAGTAAATGTAAAACAGAGTTCATGCAGCTACGAGTTGTATGAAGGTGGAATGGAAAGTTGGGTGAGCAATAATATAACAGTAAGGGATGGCACCAAGAGCTTTTTTATTATTGTTGTTCCTAAAATAGCATTCAATATATTTACCAATAACTACCACAACAGAACTGAAACACTTCATCATTGTTCTGAAAGAGTAGGGATGCCGTTTAATAGTAGTTCTGTACTATTTTGTCTAACTTTTGGCCCTCTAGTGATTAAAAAAACAAAACTGCATGCATTTTGCAGAGGAACATTGTTTTGGTTGTGCTTTGTCTGCGTGCAAATAAATGTGCAAAATAAATATGACCCTTCACAATACATCCATGGTTCTCAATGGCGTTCCTTGGATTCATCAGGGCCTGTTCACATATCGCATCTTTTGCGCGCTCAAGTTCGTTATTTCAAATGTAGGCGCGCGGTATGCGCACTCATAATGGAAGTGACACGGTGCGACGTGCTCGTTTTTTCCAAGCGCGAGATAAAAACATCTCAACTTTTCAGAATGCCGCAAGCGCACCATAAGCGCACAGTAGGTCACGTGACGAGAACCAACCGGAGCGCAACCGACCTAGCGCTTTGGAAAAAGGAGAATATGCGGCGCACCCAGCGTTTTCTACGCATTTTTAGGCACTATATGTGAATCCGGCCTTATATTGACTACACCTGCATACTAAATGAAGTATGTTAATGTTTAGTGTATTTATTTACAGCAGTATATTATATCATACCTCAAACTTCTCTAACAATCACTACTGGAGTTTGTACTGTATGTGATGCCATTGCAGGCAGTGGCATAGTGCAAATTCACAAATTAATGTTTTAAAGTGAAGTAAACAAGTAGCAGGGAGTAGTGAACACTGCATGGGGACCCTGGCTGCGTCCAAAAGCTGGAAAATGCTGCCTTTTGTAGGACGCATTCCATGGTAGGAATGTATAAAGTCACGTCCAAGTCCAATGTTAGCTTCACTTCCTGTCTCCTAAGAAACCACATCCGATTTTTTTTATTTTTTTTATGGCAGCATAGATGTATCCTTTATTGCCTTTGATATCCCACAGTCCTGTGTGTTCCATTCAGTAACAGTTGATCAAAAAAAATAAAAATCACAACTGAAAGTTGCCGTTAGTAGTCAGTGTCTGTGTAAATGTAGGCTATGTTTTTGACCATTTTCCACTTTTGATGTTATTTCTAGAGGGAAATTATAAATAAACTACAATATATTGCTACAAAGTAATTGTAGAAATTAAATATTTGCTTAGTTATACCAAAGCCTGTTCTATTATGTTGTAGATCACTAAACCGTTATGCCTGTCCGAAATCAGTTTCGCCAGGTACCTTTGTGAGCAAATGATGGCTACTAAGTCATTGTCAGATAATTCAAAGTACAGATTGTATGATTTTGGGCTGTCCCAGACGAAAGATGACCCATCTTTTAGATTACTGTGATCGTGGCTCCTGAACGGTGGTCCTACGTCATACAGGGCGAGAGGTTCAAAGACGGCCTGTCACAGTTATATGACCAAAGACAGCCTGCGATCATTTTCTGACAGTGTCAAAAATTTAGCATAATCGCATAATGTGTTATAACCAACGTCTACTGACTAGCCAATAAAAATGCAACATGTCAACTTACCCCTAACTAATTAATGCTACTCCCACCGCAGCCAGAGCAACTTTTCTCTATTTACTGATATACATGGGCGAGTGATGCATGAATGCAATTTCCAGCGAATCCATTCTGTCAGGTCTAAAATATAAACCCTTATAAAAGGCTTAGCATAGTAAATCAGGGTAAGACAAAAAAAAAAGATAATCTAAATTTACTCATTTGAAAAAAAAAAAGCTAGTGTCCCTTTAAAACCATAAAAATGAATAAATTACAATATATTATAAGTGAATTCAGCCATCACACCATGAAAAAGTGTATATTCATTTTGAGATTTGATCAATATTACATTTAAAAGCATCATATTAGTGCATTTTATTTTATTACAAATAAAAACAAAATTAAGTAATTAAATGTAAAAAGGGGGACTTTCCACGTACAATCAAGTACAGAATAAACCGATACTGATCAAAAATATAAATATCAATAAAATATAGGCCTGTAACCAATACATTTCTATCAAAAGTATTTAATTTAAAAATATTATAAGTCCATCCAAAAAAAAAAAAAGTCATATTAGACCTGTACAGAAGTTCTTACTGTAATGTTTTCACTGGCTGAACACATCAACACATTTTTCTACCCCTCACAGCCTTGTTTTCATTTGTGTCTCAGCAAGTATGGCGTCTACTCTACTCTAAGATCAACTTACTCACTGAATGTGGCTCTTTTGAGTGTGATATCCTCCTGGTGTTGGCCCTGAATGATGAGGCATGAAACTGGCAGGGCACAGAGTGCTATTCTACCTGTTCTAATGTACCCGTGATGAAGGCCATGGCAGCTTCATGAATCAACTGTCAGTGTGGAACATTACCTCCTGCAGGGTCCTGCGTAACCGCAGCAGAAGAGTCTTTACCGCTGTGCAGTCCTGCTGCATCAGCCTGAACGGCAACGCTTCCAGCCCGGCCAAAGTTTCATCATCACGAGACAGGCAGAGAGACATCGGCCGCTGCTCCCTAGAAGGATCATGAGAAAACAATTTATTTAAGCAAGAAACGGTCTGAATTTTGTTGTAATGATCGACAAGAAAATGCACAGAAAAAATTTATTTCCAACATATACTGGCAAATGAATGTACATAGAATGCAATACTTTGGCATTTAATGCAATAAAAATATAAATTCCAAACGTGATTCAAAGTAGAATCAAATGTAAATAACTTTGTTTTAGTCTATTGATTGCATCCAGATTTCTGGGTAGATGAACAGATCAATCATTTATGTAGAAAATGGGATCAAATAAACTTGATAAGGAGTGCTTTTTGAAAAGACAGAAAGGCAAAGATTCAGAGTGGAGAAAAGACCCTCGAGAGATAATGGAGCAGATACTCATACCCTCTTCATCAGGCCTTTCATTAAGTCCAAGTGGATATTAATCTATATATAAACTCAGACAATTAGACCAGTAAGCGGTTTCAAAACCTTTTTTCCAACCTACTAATATCTTGACTGAACTAGTGTTGTCACAATACCCGAATGTCAAAACATCAATATGATAACTTGAAAAATATTGATATTTGACATAATTTCGATACCACAGGGAAAATTGTCATATACCACCATACAGATTATTTGATATCGTCTAATAATTTATATGATTATTTGGGTAATTTTGTTGTAATAGCTTACTCACAGCACAGAAAGGCTATACTTAAATAGTTGAAACAAACTGCAAATGATAGCACAAATAAATCAAATGGAATAAAGAAACAAATTAAATAAACATGGATTTAAGTTTTTCAGGTTGGTTTTATTTGGGTAAAAGAATACTACAGAAAATCCAAAGTACAGTAACATAACACTAGATCATTTTTATTATAAAAATTATCTACAGATGAATTCTTACAATTAAAATTACAAAAGTTATTTAGTCAAGAGCAGCAAGTGATTTTCTCTTTGTCTTTTTTTCTTTGATTAGCATGACAGACAGCATCAGGAATATTAGGCTGCTGTCACTTTAAAGATTTATGCACATATCCAATATACTGTTACACAACATGTATTTTCTCTAAACTATTTACATTCCAAAAAACTGTAGTCACTTGGACAATTTTAACAATGTCTTTAATAACTTTTCGGGGAACAAGTTTCAATCCCTTAAGAAGCCTATGGAGGAGTGATCCAGCTCTCAGATTTAAACAAAAATATCTTAATTTGTTTTCCGAAGATGAACGAAGGTCTTACGGGGTTGGAACAAAATGAGGGTGAGTAATTACTGACAGAATTTTCATTTTTTGGGTGAACTATCCCTTTAAAGTGAATTTACAAAAGATTTCATAAATCGCTTGCGTTGTTAAATGCCTCAGAAAGCCGACAGAATCCTGACTTATTCATGATCCTCACACTGAGACATGGCATAGGAAAGGATGTGCTCATTCAACATACTCATTAAAATATTAGAGCCTGTATAACTCAGTGTCTGCACAGAAAGCCAGCAGCAAAAGCAAGCTTGATTCTTTGTTTTTGCCTGTGAGAACTGACTAAGCCACCTAACAGATTCCTCTAATATTGTCTCAACGGCACAGCGCGGTATGGAAAAATTGATCACTGCACACACGAATAACAAATGCAGAAGTATGAAAAAAACGTACTCGGTTACTAACGTAACCTCGGTTCCCTAAAGAAGAGGGAACGAGTACTGCGTAATCTTACGTTAGGGGAAAACCTCTTTTCCACAAGATATTGAAGCTAAAATTTATCCTTAATTTTTAATTAATGTAAAACGCGTTCCGGCAGCATGCACACATGGGCAAGACGGCTCGCGTGCCTATTGGCTGTCCTGTGGCAACTGCAGTAGCCTATAGAGCAGAGGTGGGAGACTCGAGTCATATGACTTGACTCGAGTCGCAATTTTCTGGACTTGAGACTTACTTGGCTAGATGTCTGAAAAGACTCGACTTGACTTTAGACTTGCTCCTTGTGACTTTAGACTTGACTCGGACTTGTGCCTATTTACTTGAAATGACTTGTGGGAAAAAAATACTCTAATATTGTGTTTTTTAATGCATCAAAAGAGGAAATTCAAAATTAAGGATAATTTTTGGCAGAGAGGTTTTCCCCTAGAGTAAGATATTACACAGTACGAGACAACCTCTCGTAAGAGAACACAGTGTTTATTTCTTTAAAAAAGAAAACCAGAGTGAGCCCTGCAGGAGTGATTGTAAATTGTGCCTTAACAACTCTAGATTTCCTTTAGCTTGGACGCCTGAGGAATTCAACACCATTCTGAAATGTTTTCTAGAAAAAAAAAGAGACTCGATTTTGCCACTTTCAAGCAATTTCTAGCCACATTAAAACCCCAGACTTGGTGTTAAATGATGCCTCTTATGAGCAGAATTGTTCTATCTGAAAAGGGAAGTTATTTACTTGACAGATGCAATGTATTAAATAATTATATTGATTCAATCACTAATCAAAACATTGATGTCAGGGCCTCTATGATTCGGTTTAACAGCCATTGCGTTTGGCTACAATAACTAGAGTAATCTAAAGATGTAAGGTGAAGGTCAAACTGTGACAACACTTAGCCGATAAACATGCTAACAGAAATTGAGCCTTGTGATTGATTTGAAGCAGTCATATGAAGGCAGTTCGTCATTCAAATATATATATATATATATATATATATATATGATAAGACTCGAATTGATTTCAAGAGTTTGCCGTTAACATGTAGCCAAGGTAAAACGCAATTGTCAAGTAAACATAAAATTACATAGCATACACAAATGTGAGGTAAACTAGTCTAGAACTGTTCGTTGCGCATGTATAGATAGGATTACAAGTTTACAAAATTTTGGGGTCAGTAATTTTTTTTTTACTTTTATTTAGCATGGATGCATTAAATTGATCAAGAATAAATATATTTATAATGTTAAAAAAATATATTTCTATTACCCTTTCCTTTGAACTTACTATTCACAAAAGAATCCTGGAAAAAAAAATACAACTGTTTTCAACAGATAGTTATTTTAAAATGTAACAATAATAATAATAATAATAATAATAATAATAATTCACAATATTGCTGTTTAACTGCATTTTTTTATATCAAATAAATGCCTTGGTAAGCATAAGACTTTTTTCAAAAACTTTTTTTTAAAACTGACCGACCATAAACTTTTAAACTATTATTTTTATTATTATTATTATTTAGTTATTAATAATAAATTAATGTATTATCCCCAATTAATTTGGAGAAGTCAGTCTTCTCAGCAGCCAAATTCACAATACTTCCAGGTGTGCTATTTCTAGTCATACACATTCAGCCCAATTTAGACATACCTGTATGTTTGATATTAATTCAAATTATATATAACAATACATATTTTAAAACTTTAAAACTAAGAAGGAATAAATTATTTTGACATTTAGTCAGTAATTCCAATCCTACAGCCCCCCTTATTAAGTGTTGCCACATCCATGAAAAAATAATTAGCTCGTAAGGCAGGAGTACATCTACCATATTTAGTGTTATATGATCTGATTATGTTACTGAAACACTGTCACCTAGTTTGTTCTTTTATGCATATGACCTCTGCTTAGCAGGATGACATCCTCCCTGCATGAGCCCTCATTTAGAGGCTGTATGTTATTTAAAGTTGTTGAGAGGCAGACCAATGGAGTTCTGTACTGGCATCTGTCAGATGTAAAAGACTCCCTCAGGTGAGTCAATGTTCTGTATTACATCTATTAGCACAGTTTTCTCATTAGTCCATTAGCATCCTCATTAGCATTAGGCAAGACTGGCCCTTTGTTCTTTTAATCACACATTAACTTTGCACTAGAGGAGCAGAATCCCGCCCATGTTCAGAGTTGCAAACACGTGTTGGAAATTTAACAAGTGATACGAATGCTTGGCTCTAGGAGCAGTGTTCAGATCAGAGAAATGCTCACTGCCCTAGCTAAACATTTAGTTGTCTGCTGTGGAAACAAGGAAGATATAGAGAGTGACTGCTGTATAAATTGAGTCTACAAGATGCATTCATGTTTGATTGAGAGCATGAATGAGAGAGAAACAGAGTGAAAAGTGGAATGAAATGAATTAGCATGATCCTCCCTGCCAGCCAAAGACAGATTTTCACACTAGGGAATCACACACACACTCAGATTTTGGCGGTATGACCATAATCGTACATCACAGTGCGAGTAATTTTCTATAATTGTAACACAATAGTTACAATATTGTTTAGATCAGCTTAAAGGGATACTCCATTTTTTTTTTGGAAATAGGCTCATTTTACCACTCCCCCAGAGTTTAACAGTTGGGTTTTACCGTTTTCAAATCCATTCAGTCGATTTTCTGATATTTAGAAGAACATCAGTAACCAGACAGTTTCTGGTCTCATTGACTTCCATAGTAGGAAAAAAATATACTATGGAAGTCAATGAGACCAGAAACTGTCTAGTTACTGATGTTCTTCTAAATATAAAAAAATAAAATAAATAAAAATTGGCTGAATACATTAGAAAACAGCAAAACCCAACTGTTTAACTCTGGGGGAGTGGTAAAATGAGCCTATTTCCAAAAAATAAAAAATAAAAAAAAAAGTGGAGTATCCCTTTAAAGCATCCTGATAAAGCTGAATACAAGTATTCTTTCTTTAAAGTAATTAAAGTACTCGCTCACTGACCCCAATGTCCGATCAACTTTGTAAAGATTATTCATAACATATAAACAAATAAAGCTCTCTAAATATTATTTTGGTATCGGTCATTAAGGACAGCCTACAATGGTTGACTACTAGCACTGCATATTTAGAGACCACTTTTCCTATGCTCATTTCTTTATGCCACTGGCCATTTTGTTTATCTAAGCAAAACGATTTGACAAACACAACAGACTGCGACAAATTACTCAAGTCCTATGAATGCAAGGATTTCTGGCAGCAATGGTAAAAGTCAACCGTTTCCACACTGCCATCAACCATCTCCCTCGAAATCATTTTTGCACTTTG